AAGCTCAGTGGATGCCCTAATAATGGAATGTCACTATTCACACGTAGATTCTCTATGCTAACCATCCAGATTTGATCCAAATATACATCAGAGCATGATCATTACATGGCTTTGAAAACGCTTAAAATAAATAATTTGAGTTTGAACTTTTATACCTCAACCGACAGTGATGGATATGTTTGATCTGGTATATGTGCCTTGCAGAAACAACCTAGATCTTCTCCTTGGGTGCTCAGAAAGTGGTTGCAGTGCTGGACTTTGGACGAAACTGGCTGGGAATGGTGATTCAATTGTTTGATATATTTGGAACTTTTCCTCCTTCAAACCCTAGTGTTTCTTGATGTCCAAAAATTGTCCCCTCTTGGCATGAACATGTTGAATATATATAGGGTGTATTAGGTTAGATTTTATGGGTTTGGACCATGTGTAATGAGCTTTGTCCTATTTTATTTGATTTTGACCTTTAAATGAATAAAAATCAAAAATAAAATATAATAAAACCAAAGAGAGGTTTATGAATAAGTATTGATATGAATATGGATTGTAGCACACGTTTGGACTCTAAAACAATAGCCCAATGACTCAAAATTTCAAGTTCGCTCAATTTGAACTTCATGCATTTGCTCAAAATTTCCCAACTTGCACTAGTCATAACTCTCTCAATTTTTGTCATTTGAAAGTGATCTTGGACTTTTTGGAAAGCTCAATATGTCTTATATAATCTATAGGTTTATCATTTTTTTCATTTCAATACTTTATCTTGATGTAGGTTGCCTTGACAAAAAGTATCTTTTTGTTGACTTACAAAATGACCTATAAAGTTTTGGCTCATATCTCTCAAATGAAGCATTTTTTGGACTTGAGATTAGAGAGAAAAAGTTGTATATAATTGAATTTCCTTCACAATGAGCTTCAGTTAAGGAAAATCTAATGAAGCATGTGAAATTTATGCTTGGTCAAAGTTCAATTGACTTCTCCTTAAGAAAACCCTAATTTGGCAACTTTTGACTTTTGATGATTTGAGAGTTTCCTTGATGAGTCATGATCAACCCTTGATCAAATGATGAATATGAATTAAAAATATTGATGTTGACCAAAAATCTTGAAGTTTGACTGTAGGTTGACTCCAATTGACTTTTTGTTCAATACAGTTGATTTTCAGTCTTTGACTGAGCAAATTGTGATGCAAGGCATGAAACGTAGTATGAGCATTCTTAGCGACATATAAGGAACCATGGAAACCTATTGAGGCCTTATAAACACAAACTTTCTTGAGAAAAATAAAACCCTAGTTATGGACCCATTACTTAGGAGGAGAATTTTTTTGATTAATTCTTGAGTAACCTTGAGCATTTGAGAATCCTAGGAGATTGTCTTGAAGAAAATGGGAGGGAAAATTTTAGGGTACAACACTTCCACTCAAAATTTGATCTTGATCCTTGAAGATGAAATGAAGTAAACTCTTCAAATTGAATTATGGAATTGAGATCATTAAAAAATCATAAAAATTAAAAGATTTATGGTCTTTGGAAGATGATAAACAAATTTGGAGAAATCCACAAATGACCTATAATCTTTTCAATTCTTTAAAACTCTCCATATCTTTTCAAGACTTGCAACTTGAAAAAAAGTTGTAGTAGACATAGTCAAGTTTATTATGAAAAAATAATGAGTTTAATAAGATAAAGATGACCAAATTATGATCCTTTGAAGTAACACAAGAGAATTCCATAACTTTTCCAAATGACTTGTAATCTTCTTTAAACATAAATGGTCTTCCATTTAAAATCAGCCTTAGATCCTTGAAGAGAAGTTATTAAGGACTCTTCAAAGATAATAATGTCTTTGGAATCAACCTAAAATCTCAAAAATGAGCAAGATATGATCTTTGGAAGTTAACCCAATCTCACTCAGAGAGTACCAAAATGACTTGTAACCCCTTTCAGCTTTTAATGACTTTCAAAGAAAAAATGGATCTAGACATGTAAAAATAAGTTGTTGTATATGATTATAAGAATCCATATAAAAAATAACCAACTAAAAATGTTCAAAATTGAGTGAGTTATTCACTTGTGATCACTTAATCAAGTACTTGTTCAACTAGGTCAAACTTGTTGAATCAACCTTGAATCTTTTGAACATTCTTTGCAAAATACAGCATGATGGATCACATTTAGACCTCGAAATGATGTTATCTTGAATCATACTCAAATATGGAGCTTAAGTCTCAATGAAACTTGTTGAATAAGGCATGGAAATAAACACATGAACCTATGAATCTTCTTGATGAATGCCATTTTCTTTGAAGCAAGATTGACCTTAAACGAAATTGAGAGAGTTCTTTAAACCAAATAATTGTGATGTCATCAACATAACTTTGAAGCTCAAACTCCTATACTTCATTGAGCAACCATTTTAATGAGGACTATCCCTCAAAACCCTAGGTTAAATGGTGAGATGGATGCCATTGTATCATCACCTACAATATAAACATCCAAAGAAACATATATATATATATATATATATATATAT